GATGGCTCTTACCGGAGGGGATGTAAATCACCTGGCAGGGGAGAAAAATAAAAATAGATAGCTTGAGCACAGCACAAGACTTCCTTGATCAGTTAAGGGGTGCAGAAGAAGAACAGAACAGTAAGGAGGAAGTAGAGGTGACAAATTTAGAAGAGGAAGGAACCGCGGAGGAGAAAAAGACCGAAGAAGAAGCCAAGGGAAAAAAAATAATAAGACCAGTAAGAGCCGTAAGACTAAATAAGAACTAAGACCGAGCAAGGAAAACAAGAATGAATGACTTGAAATTAATTTCAGTAAACGTTAATGGATTAAACGATAGTAAAAAGAGGAAATTAACACTTACAAAATTAGCAAAACAAAATATGGATATAATCTGTTTACAGGAGGTCCACATAAAAAAGGATGAGGGTAAACGTTTGGAGTTTAAGAAATATGGTAAACTATTTACCTCATTAGCTGAAAAAAGGAAGAGAGGGGTAGTAATCTATGTTAAAAAAGGAATTGAAGCAGAATTGAAATATAATGATACAAAGGGAAGAACCCTCATGGTTGAAATTACGAGAGAAAACACTAAAATATTACTTGTGGGCATTTACGCCCCAAATAAAAAACAAGGAGAATATTTCCAAAAGCTTCGCGAACAAATAGGGAAAATGGAATACAATGAACTTTGTATGATAGGAGATTTCAACGGAATCATAGACCCAGACAATGACTACAAAAGTAATAAAATGAACAAAAATAAAAGGGCGACCTTACCAAAAGCTTTTTTCGATTTGGTGGAGGAAATGAGTTTAATTGATATATGGCGAACCTTGCATCCAAGTGAAAGACAGTATACATTCTATTCTAATCCGCAAAAATCATGGTCGAGAATAGACATGGCTTGGGTCACCAGGTCGTTGGGATTAAAAATAGAGACAGCAGAAATTAGCCCAAATATTTGGGCTGACCACAACCCCCTAGAAATAAAATGGAGAATCACAAAGAGAAAGAAACAACAGAGATGGAGGCTCAACACAAATTTACTCGGCGACAAAGAGTGTGTAGAAAAATTGAAAGGAGAAATAAAGACCTTTTTTATGGAAAATGAGAATCAAGGGACACCCCGTGAAATAGTATGGGACACAATGAAGGCCTATCTAAGAGGGGTAATAATATCATACACTGCATATAAAAATAAATTAAAAAGGAAATCCCGGGAAGATCTTATTAAGCATTTAGATGAAGCAGAAAGGAAACTCCAAAAAATACCTGGAGATACTGTAGCAAAAGAAAATTGGCTGGTGTGGAGACATAAATTAAACATCCTAGAGCAAGAGGAGCTAGCCCAAAACATAAAAAGAACAAAGCAGTACTATTTTGAGAATGCCAACAAATCGGGCAGGTGGCTGGCCTATAAATTAAAAAAGGAAAAGGAAAAAGCGACAATTCAGATACTAGAAGACGCTAAGGGAAACCCTCTAAATAAAGAAGAAGATAAATTGGAAAGAGCGAGAGAGTACTATGAATCCTTGTATAAAGAAGAGGAGGCCTCGGAAGAAAAAATAGACCAATACTTGGCAAACGCGGAGCTCCCAAAAATAACGGAGGAAGAGAAGGAGATGTTAAACGCGAAGATAACAATTGAAGAATTTAAAAAAGCCCTCTCCAAACTCAAAAACAACAAATCACCAGGCCCGGATGGATTCCCGGGAGAAATATACAAAAAATTGGAAGAAATTTTACAACCCAAACTAATGGAAATCTTTAATGAGGTTTTGACGGGCTCAAAAATTCCTGATTCATGGAGGGAAGCACATGTCACACTCCTGCCGAAAGAAGGTGCCGACTCCCAAAAAATCCAAAATTACAGACCGATTTCGCTCCTAAACACTGATTACAAATTATTCATGTGTATAATGGCAGAAAGAACCAAAAAAATATTAAATAATTGGATTCATAAAGACCAAAATGGATTTCTTCCGGGGCGACAAATTAGGGACAATTTGAGAATTGTATTAGATATTCTAGAATACTATGAAGAACACCCAGAAAAGCAGTTGGCCTTAGTTTTCTTGGATGCCCAAAAGGCATTCGACAATTTAAATTGGAATTTTATGACCAAACAAATTAAAATAATGGGATTCGGGCAAAACTTCGAAAAGATGATAAAGACCATTTATGACAATCAGAGGGCGAGCATCTTAGTTAATGGAGACAGGACAAGAATATTCCAAATCAGAAAGGGAGTAAGGCAGGGCTGCCCCTTGTCACCGCTGTTATTCATTTTGGCTCTAGAAGTTCTGCTACGTAAGATTAGAAATAACAAGGAAATTAAAGGCCTAAAAATTAGAAATGAGACCTATAAAACACAAGCCTTTGCGGATGACGTGGCACTAATACTAGAAGACCCATTAACATCAGGACAAAAAGTACTAGAGGAATTGAGTAAATATGGAGAGGTGGCTGGCTTTAAACTGAACAAATCTAAAACCAAAATATTAACTAAGAATATAACAGAAGCGCAGAAGAACGAGATAGAAGGAACTTTGGGCCTAAAGGTTGTCCCAAAAATAAAATATCTAGGAATTTGGCTAACCAAAAGGTGCTCATCTCTAAGAGACGATAATTATACCCCACTAATTAATAAATTAAAACAAGATTTGGATAGATGGAAAAAGATTAAATTGTCACTTATAGGCAAAATTGCGGCAATTAAGATGAACATCCTCCCCAAGATCCTATTTTTATATCAAAATCTACCAGTGATTTTAGAGAAAATTTTTTTCCTAGAATTAAATAAGATTATTAGGGAATTCGTTTGGGAGGGAAAAAAATCGAGGATCTCACTCAAAATTCTACAGGAAAAAAGGAACGTGGGAGGATTTGGTCTCCCGAATTGGGAAATGTATTACAGAGCAGCAAAGTTGATTTGGATAAGGGAATGGATCACCTTAGAGAACAAGAGAATCCTAATGCTAGAAGGCCACGATTTACAGAGAGGGTGGCATTCATACTTATGGGACAAAGACAAGAAAAAGAAAACCTATTTCCACAGGCATAAAATTAGGGACTCCTTAATACAAATGTGGGCGGGGATCAGGCAGAGACACTATACAAAAGTTCCAAATTGGCTCTCTACGGTAGAGGCATTGATTTACCCCAACAGGTGGGGAATGGAGAAACTGTGCAGATATAAAGATATCATTGACGGAGGGGGAAACCTCAAATCAAATGATGCTCTGAAAGACCAAGGCATAACCTTAGATTGGTGGACTTACCTGCAAATAAAATCAAGATACCAGAAAGATAAAGATGAATTTGGCATAGAATTGAGATATAACGGATTGGACAAAATCTTGATGGGACCAGGGAAAAAAGCGCTGGCCAAGCTATATAATTATTTACTAGATGAAGATAGAGATGAGGATACAATTAGAAACCAATTGAGAGCATGGGAGAGAAACATTGGGCATAGTTTGAACTTTAATGAATGGGAAGAGGCGTGGAATAAAAATTATAAATTAACTAGAGCAGCCACGTATAAGGAAAATCATTATAAAATGCTCCATAGGTGGCATTTAGCCCCTGCAAGATTATCAAAGATGTTTCCCAATGTGCACCCAAATTGTTGGAAATGCGGTCATGGGCAGGGCACCTTCTTTCACATGTGGTGGACATGCCCCGAAGCAAAAAGATACTGGAGCAAAATTCGGAGATGGTTGAAAGACATACTCAAAGAAGAAATTGACTTGACTCCAGAAATATTTCTCCTGGGAATGGTAAAGAAAGGGCATGGAAAGGAAAAGGTCCACCTCCTAATACATATTACTACAGCTGCCAGACTGGCATATGCTCAATACTGGAAAAAGAAAGACCTACCACCAGATGACCTTATAATTAGCAAAATATTAGAGTGTGCAGAGACAAGTAAATTAACGCACGAAATAAGTGATGATGAAAATTCAGATTACGATACTGTGTGGGGAAGATGGTACGAATGGATAAATGATAGAATTAAGGAAGGAGTTTAAAGGTGCAGAAATTAATTAGAAATGTATAGTATAAAAGACACCAGATATTTCTTTCATGTACATATGTATAAACACTGCAAATCCGATGTCAAACAAAGTTGTTATTATATTTAATCTGTCTTAAAAAATCAATAAAGTGTAAATAAAAAAAAAAAAAAGTACGACACCAAATTAGCATTGGAGAAAATTAGTCCCCTGCTTTCTGCTTCTAAACCGCCACCTGCCTTTTCCCATGAATTAATTCTTTTGCTTTTTGGGGGTTTTGCCACAAAAGAAAAAAATCTGCCAAAACAGATTAACTCCACAATCTCAAGGAAAAGGCTTGTCAACTCGGAGGTCCACTTAAGAAAATAGAAGGCAGGAATGCTCAGAGGTCTGTTATGCACACAGGGGAGTGGAGGTGTCAACGGACTGAGGGTGAAGTGTGGGGGAATGGGCAGACAGAAGAGCATCACACAGTTTAAATAATGAAAAAGAGTTTGGCCATGCTTTTGCCACCGAGCAGGTCCAAAGGATTTTGGGATTATTTGCAAAACTGCCCAGCAAAGTTCTTGAGGCAATTTTACCCAAGCAGGAGGCATGGACTCGCCCTTCCTCCAGGAGCTGAGCAGCTGCTTCTGTCTGGGCAAAGAGCCGGCAGGACTCACCATCCACCACCTCTGGACATCCAGCGGCAAGTCCACGTTCTCTTTGGTCCACACCGGGGAGATGTTGCCATCAAAGCGGCTGTCGAACCAGGCGGTGTCACTGGACTCCATGGCACACCGGTGGCAGGCACAGCTCTTCACCAAGAGCCCCTCCTTGCTCAGGCGCTGCATGCCGGCGTAACTGGGCACCAGCTTCACCCGGTGGAGCCCATTCAGCCCACCGAGGTCCAGATAGGCCATGCTGTGGTGCGAATAGGTAAACAGCAGCGACATGATGAAGACAAGCAGGAATGCCGTAGAGAGGAACCAGAAGCGCAAGGAAAACTTCATGGCGGGCTCCAAGGAGAAGGCCCCTTCCGCACAGCTGCAGTCAATGGAAAAGGGGAGGGGGAGCAGGCCCGGCCAAGAGTTGGACTTGACTGGACTACCCTTTCTGAGTCATGAAGGTCCCACAGCAAGCGATGGCCAGACCAGAGATGGTCTTCCTGCACTGAAGCATACGAGATCCTCCGCCTTCGGGAACCAGACCTTTAACTGCAGAAGGAAAACTCACAGGGCCTCCTTGCCATTTTGAATTCTTATAAAACCTGTTTTGAAAATGTCTCTTTCCAGAGAAGAGGCTTGACTCCGGGGAGCGGGGGGCTGGGGGCCTCTGCCTCTTCTTCCTAGCTGCAGGATGCTGGGTCTCGCACAGAGGGAGGGAGAGCAGCCGCTATCAGAGCCATGTCACCGACATCCTTGAGGCCCCCAGCTGGGACGTGGAGAGCTGCTGCCCCTCCCCATGGGTGCGCCTCGCCTCTGAGGCGGCCCTCTGCTTCCCAGGGCTGACGAGAGGGCATCGCATCTGCAGCGCTGCCACAGAGTGAGGTCTCCTGGCCAGGCCAGGCTCTCCCTGCACCCTTGGCCTGTGGCGCCCACCACTGGGTGACACAGGTAATGCCCAGTCAGTGCAGCAGCATCTTCTCTCGTGTGGCATCTGCCAGACATGGAGCTGCAAGGTGGCACTTCCTTGCGCTGCTCTCTGTGGTGGCAACTTTTCAATATACTTCTGGCAGGTGCTCAACCAAAATCTGAACCTGGGAGGACGGTGGGAAGAGAAAGAGAAAGAGAAAGGTCGCAATTACACAATGAAACAGGTAACAAGTCAAATCAACACTAGCTCAGGGCCCCAAAGGCTGCAAGAGGAGCAGCAACAGCCAACTGCGCCTAGCACACGAGAAGCAGCTGCCCGTTCATCTGTGGGCCCAACATAGAAGACGCGCTGCTGCCATGCTTCAAGGAAAAGCGCCTCTTATTTGCAGCATAAACAGATCAGGACGCATCAAATCTCCTGCCAAAGCCCACATGGACAGATTTTCTTAGCGGAACCCGTCTCTTGCAGTAGAAATGCATGCAATATTTTGGAATTCCAAATATTAACATTGTTCCATATATTAAATCCTTCCTCAAAACGTCAGATTCCACTAGCAAAACACCACTTGCATGCGAAGAACGTAAAGGCTCCAGTTGGTTTTTCCCAGCAAAGCCGCCAAATTTCCTTGTTTTCCCTCCTACCAAGAATCCTGGTTCCAACTAACTCACCAATTGCTTCTTTGTGCCCACAGCTTCTGCTAAGGGTAGGGAATCAAGAGGGACTCGCACAACTTCCAATTCCTAGGACTCCCCCTCAGGAGCAAAGGAGGGCTTGAAATAGGCATCTCATCACTAATGGGGAGGGGTACTTCACTGCAGCTCTCCAGAATCCTGCTCCTTTGCTCAAATGTCCATGGTGCCAACTCTGAAGCGAACCTGGCTGAGGCCATCTTGGAGGCTTCAGGGTTGCCACAAGGCAGAAGAGGGGACAGGGAGGGGGGGAAATAGATAGCTTGGGTTTTGTAGTCAGAATTATAATTTTCCTCTGGGAACCAAGGACATTCCAGCAGGTGGCTAGGGAAGAGGAGGAGTGGAGTAACCAAGCAACCGGCAAGCCCCTCTATTAGACAATGTGACTTGGGGGAAAAGGGGAACTTTCACTTTTTAATTAGGTAAAAACCGCAGGAACTTTCAGAGTCGGTTTTCACCAGTTGTGCTAATATGATGTATCCAATAAATTGTTCTTTGAGGAATCTACCTAGCTCGGAGTTCTACTTTCAATGGGTATATTACTTTCCTGGGCTCTCCAGGCAGAATATGGGGCTTGTGGGGGCCCTTCCCACCTCCCCCTTTCTGGGATGGTGTAAAGCAGGGGTGTCAAACTCAAGGCCCGCAGCCCACAGTGGGTTTAGATCTGACCTGTGAGGCCACCCTGGAAACAGCAAAGGACCAGCCCCCAGTGCCTCCGCCACCAAAAACAGAGCTTGAGAGGGCCAAACACAGCTTTCCCAGGCCCCATTTTCAGCCAGGACGGCCTCCTGCAATCCTCTGCCAGCAAAAATGGAGGTTGGGGGGGGGCATGCACACCCCACCCCCCGAGCTCTGTTTTTGCTGGCAGAGGGTTGCAGGAAGCCATACGGGCTGAAAATGCACCCCCCCCCAGCTCCATTTTCACTGGCAGAGAGCTATCAAAACAAACAAACGACATAAGTGTCATATTAAGGGTTTTTTTTGTGTTTTTTTTTTATCTTTCTTTACCAGTTATGAGTATAGGGAAGTCTGGGGGGAGGGGAGGGTTAGGGAGGTTGGAAAGTCTGGGGGGGGTGGGGGGGGGAAAGGGGTGAAAATGTAATTGTAAAATTTTTGCAATAAAAAAAACAAAACAAAACAAAACAAACGAAAAACAAAAGAAAAGGAGAAATGTTTTCCCTTTTGCATTTGAGTATGCAAGAAGGGACAGGAAAGGAGAAAGGGAAAGAGGAAAGTTTAGCGCACCCTGTTATTAACACAGCTGCCTGCAATTTCTGCTGGTTCGAATCTCACCAGGCTCAAGGTTGACTCAGCCTTCCATCCTTTCTAAGGTAGGTGAAATGAGGACCCAGTTTGTGGGGGCAATAAGCTGACTTTGTATAAATATACAAAAGGATGAAGGCTATTGCTTAATGCATTGTAAGCCGCCCTGAGTCTCCGGAGAAGGGCGGCATATAAATCAAATTAAAAAAAAAAAAGACAAAGAAAAAGAAGGCAGAGTTTGGGGGAGAGAAAGAAAGACTTCTGCTGCTTCTGCTTTTGGCTGAAACCCTGAACTCTGCTTCTGCGGCTTCCAAACCCCAGCCAGGGCAGCGGCCGCTCTAGGAGTGTGCTTCCCACTCTATGGTGACGGCTGGAGCTGGACCCTGCAGGGAGAGCTGGCCCAGGCCGTGGCTTCCGTGTGGGTGCTGGGTGCCAGCAGCATTGGCTACAAGCTTCTCAAGGATCTGGTGCTCACCAGCTTTGCCCACATTGACATGATGAGGCCTGGGAGGTGCACAAGCGGGAGGTGGGGACAGGCACTTGTGTGGCTTGGTGCCTTCGGTCTGTTTGCGTTCTACACACATACCCCGCGGGAGGGGAGGGCTTGATGGCGGTGCATGAAGGGAGCCTCTCTCTGCCAGACTCCGGCTGTGAGTGCGCAGGCTGTCCGGGGCCTCCTGCACCCCCAAAATAATAAGAACCCCCGATAATAAGGCCACGTCCTTATTTCGGGGTTCAAAAGCAAATATGATCCTGTCTTATTTTCGGGAAAACACAGTAGTTTATGAAGATGTTGAAGGGTATTGGGGCAAAGGCAGAGGTAGCCCTCTGCATGCTTCCCTCCATGTAGCTACGATTCCATTGAGGGCTATACGATGAGTTGTGGTCCTTAATGCCAAGAGAATCTTGTGATCCCATCAGAGTTATAAGAGAATCCTGTGATTCTATGATCTGGAAGTGTAGCTGAAATCTGTTCCTAACAGTTTTTCTTGGTTAAAAGTTCCCTTCTAACTTTTTGGTTAAATGCATAGCCAAAGTGCCCACTGCTTCATCAGACTCCTCTCTTAACAAAGACCAAATCCAGCCTGCAGATCCTCTTGGGCCTCTCTGCCATTTGGCAGAAACTGACCCCACTGAGCCAAACCCTGAGCTGAAACCTTCTGCTTGGCACAATTTGTGTCCCAGCAGACGTCTGGGTCGCTGAAACTGCCTGTCATAAACCCCCCTCAACTTGGAGGCCTCTATTTGTATTTTTTCAATTGTTTGATGGCTGGGAAAAACTCAGAGCAAGAGGGTCTCCCCCTGCCCTTGGCTGGCTGGCCTTTTAGCGAAGGTGTTCCCCCTTCAGTTGCCTCCAGACAGACCCTTCCTCCCTTCCTTCCTTCCACATGCTGCTTCTCCTCCCGCACTGCCCCTCTTCCATCCACAGGGGGTCTGCAGAGCCCCAGGCCCCTTTCAAAACCCGCCAAGAGCAGAAAGGTTCCTGTGAGCCCCTCCCCCCAATCTCAGTCTGTCTTCTTGCTGCCTGCTATGTGCTTCATTTGGATCAGTGTGGGTGAAAGACTCCACACCAACAGTCGAAGGTTGCTGGGCACAGGTGAAACTTGAGAAGAGCGAGTGAGCAAGAAAGCCTGCCCTGGAGTCCAGACAATTCCTCCGAGGCTCCAGGTTTCCCTCTGACAAGTCCGCCTTGGGTGCCTTCTGCGGGAACATCACATCCGAGGGGGGGGGCATTCTCGGAACTTCCCTGCATGTCACACCAGCTGATTTATCCAATTAATAGGGCTGCAGCCTCTCAGCCAGCATCCGTTTAATTAACTGCCTGCAGAAAAAAGTCACAAAGGGACTTTTATTCCTGGCCAGCTGTGTGGAAGCTGAAAGCCAAGGCCACGCTCCACCCGACTCCAACAGATGCACCCTCATGGAAGGATGGAGGGCACTCTCTCAAGGGCTCGCAAGGCAGCCCACCCTCTGGCCTGTGGCTGCAGCCACATTTGTGGCCTGCGCTTCTCGTACACCAGCAGATCAACCCTCTTACCATATCCTCCTGTTCCAAGAGGGGGTCTCCTCCCTCGTTTGGTCCATTCGAGCCCGGCCCAGACCTTGCCTGGGAGCCCCACTGTTCCTTTCCCCCTAAGCCCAAGGCTGTGACATGCCCAAAGCGAGTGCAAGCATCTGTCCCCAAAAGAGGGGGCTGGCACAGTGCCATGCTAACAGGTGGGGCAGATTAGCTAGGCTCCGGAATCTGCCCCTCACATTTTGGGAGGGCAGAGATGGATGAGGGCAGAATGGGGCTCTTGCTCTAAGGAGGGCACTGAAAGGGCCACAAGAGAGAAGCAAGGAAGGTAGCTTGGCCCCCAAAGTGAGCATTGCCAAGGGTTTCCCAGGACTGTGGGAGGAGAAGGGACTGGCTCCCCCATCATTCCCTGCCCTGTTTGCCCTTGAAAAACAGTGCACCAAGGCAAATTGGTAGCCAGAGGTCATTCTCCAAAGAGGAGGGGAATCAAGCAGGAGGGTCTTCTCCAAGAACTTTGGCAGCTGGCACAGGCCTGCCCCTGCCATATGGTGGCACAGGCAGGAGGGGAACCTGTGCCCAGATGCCAGATGCTTGCCCGACGCCTGAAGAAGCCAGGCTGCTTGTCGAGTGGCAGAGGCCCGTTGTGCAGACCCCTGGGATTGACTGGCAAGAAGAGGGGGGCTCTGGGTGATCTGAGAAACTAAAGCTGTGGAGGGATTTAAGCTGCCTTCAGCACCTGAAGGGAAGGCGGGATACAAATCTAAGAAATACGTAGTGCAGGATGAAAAATGCCATTTCAGTTTCTTACAAAAGTTGGGATGCACATTTTGAGTTGTTGGTGTTTTGCAGCTTGGAAGCCCCCATAGCCCCCATAGCCCAGGGGCAAGAAGTTCTTGCTTATCCAAGCCAGCAGGCAGCCATATGGAGAGCAAGCCTTCTGCAGCCGCATGGCCTCTCTGTAAAGAGCAGGACAGGCTTTTCTTCCAGGAGCTGCTGCAGCAACAACAGTAGGGGTGGAGGGAGGGGGGCATCCAGGTAGCCACTTGGGGCTCCCACTTGCCACTCCAGAGCTGCAGGAGCAGGGAAGGCTGGCTCCCTCAGTTCTAGAGCCCCCCTCCATCAGGGCCCCAGGCACCCTCCAGCCTGCCACTTCCTCCTCCAGAGGCCTTGGGCAGGGAAGACGAGCTGCAGTCCAATGGCCACGAAGATGAGGTGGCCTCCCTGCCTCAAGAGCAGCCTCGGGCTCTCCGTCTCCCTCAGGCTGGGACTGCCCCAATGGACACTTCTGATAGTCAGCCGGAACATTCTCTGGCAGCCAGGCCAGCGGGAGCAGGGCAGTCCTGGGCTAATGTCCAGAGGAGGGAGGCAGCAGGCCACTCAGCCTAATTCAGCTGATAAATTCAAGAAAAAGGCAGCTCCCCTTCTGGTTCTACCCTAAGCCCACTTGTGACTGTGATCGATGTTCTGGCCCTGAACCAGGAGACCCACTCAATGGTGGCGACCTCCACACAGACAGCAGCATTCCACTCTGCCTTTGCAGCCTGCACCAACAGCCATCACTAAACAGCCTGGCCTGTCTGGGGAAAGGGATCTGCTGGCTCTTCTGGGGTCATTCGGAAGCCAGAAGCCAGCAAGATTTGGAAAACTCTTCTTAGAATAAGGACAAAGAGGAACTTGCTACAGACACATGTAAAGTTCCTGCATTCTCAAAGGAAAACAGAGCCTTGGTAGTACAGTGGTCTAAGGCACCCTGTTATTAAGCTGGTTATTAAGACCAGCTGCCTGCAATTACTGCAGGGTTCGAATCTCGCCAAGGCTCAAGGTTGACTCAGCCTTCCATCCTTTCTAAGGTAGGTTAAATGAGGACCCAGTTTGTGGGGGCAATAAATTGACTTTGTATAAATATACAAAAGGATGAAGGCTATTGCTTAGCGCATTGTAAGCCGCCCTGAGTCTCCGGAGAAGGGCGGCATACAAATCAAATAATAAATGAATGAATAAATAAATTTTTTAAAAAAACCAGTTCATGGGAGGACCTGTTTCCATCAAACAGCTCCGACCCCAAATATACTGTTGACCCACTTGCTAGATCAGGTGGAAAACCACTGACTTGCTGAAGAAAGGCCAAGGAGACCCTCAGAGAGACTGAAGAACCCCAAAAGAAAGCTGCTGCCAAAGGCTTAGGCACTGCGAAGCAAGTTTGGACAGTCAAAAATCAATCAATCAAAATAGAGCTGGCGGTCTTGTAGTCCAACCCCCTGCTCAAGCAGGAAACCCTATACTATTTCAGATAGATGGCTGTCCAATTTCTTCTTAAAAACCTCCAGTGATGACGTACCCATGATTTCTGAAGGCCAGCTGTTCCACTGGTTAATTGTCCTCACTGTTAGGAAGTTTCTCCTTAATTCCAGGTTGCTTCTCTCCTTGGTTAGCTTCCATTGTTTCTTGCCCTGCTCTCTGGTGCTTTGGAGAATAAGTTGATCCCCTCCACTTTGTGGCAGCCCCTCAAATATTGGAATACTGCTATCATGTTCCCCCTAGTCCTTCTTTTCTCTAGATTAGCCTTACTCACTTTCTGCAACCTTTCATATTTTTATCTCCAGGTCCTTAATCATTTTAGTTGCTCTTCTTTGCACTTTTTCCAAAGTCTCAACCTCTTTTTTGTAATGTGGTGACCAAATGTGGATGCAGGATTCCAGGTGTGGCCTTACTAAGGACTTATAAAGCAGTACTAATATTTTACATGATTTTAATTCTATGCCTCTGTTTATACAACCAAGGATTGTATTAGCTTTTTTGGCTGCTGCCACACAGTGCTGGCTCATGTTTAAGTGATCATCCACTAGGATTCCAAGGTCCCTCTCACACAGTTACTGTTTTTGAGCCAGGTTTCGCCTAATCTGTATCTTTGTTTTTTCCTGCCCGGATGTAAGACCTTGCTTTTCCCCCACATTAAATTTCATGTTGTTGGATAGGGCCCATTGTTCAAGTCTGTCAAGATCTTTTTGGATCCTGAGCTTGTCTTCTGGGGTGTTGGCTATTCCTGCCAGCTTAGTGTCATCTGCAAATCTGGCGAGTTCCTCTTCTATTCATCATTTATGTTCAGAAGGATCTCCCACTGGGAGGAATTTCTAGCAACTAGGTGCTCCTGTGCCAAACAACAGGAGAGATGCTACCTTGCTGGGCTCACTGTTGCTCCTGGATTTTAATAATAATATTTGAAAATATTTCTGCAAACCATCTTCCCAATCCACAGCCTCTCTTCCATTGAAGCCCTTTGGACTTGTATAGAAACCTGAAGAGGAATAAATGGCTGCCAGGACATGTTTGCTCCCTGAGGACAATGGAGGTGGCCAAACAGCCATGAAGGGAGAACAGTCTAAATAAACACATGCATGAATGACAGCTGGAAAGTGAAGATGTTGCCAGAAGACAGGCTGACATTTGGCCAGGCTGTTGCACAAAAGGAATGAAGGAAGCCTCCTTAGAGCAAGCAAGACAAGTCATTGCCGAGGGTTCATGAAGAAAAAGGTAGCGCTGAAGGAGGAAGCTGCCTCCACTTCTAGCACAAGTGACCAGCTCTGCCCCTGCAGCCAAGGGGACAAGGAGCTGGGGGGGAAAAGGCTCTGGACAAATGCCCCACAATGCCGAGGAGCCATGAACAAGCCGTGGTTGGTAGGGGGCTCCAGGAATAAAAAAATAGTTTTGCAAATGCTCACACTAAAGAAAAGCCAAATAGGGTGGCCAAGAAAGAGCAGAACGACTCAGCTGCGCCTGGTTCAGCTCAGGCCCTCTTTCCATGGGCAACCATGCCGGTGGGCCAAAGGCAGCCTTTCCTCTGCTGAAATGCAAGCCTCCAGGGCCACCGGAAGGGCATCCTTGGGTCCCAAATGATTTGGCTGCAGACGAGGCGCAACACTGTGCTGGCCTTTCAGAAATCCTGCAGGGCTGGGAAGTGCCAGTGGACAGGAGGAAAATAATTACCAAAAGTCAGAACAAGTCTTCCCAGGCTCTTCTTGTTTCTTAATTACCTTTGATTGACAACAAGGGTGCTCAATCCCACCTCTTCTACTCTTTAGTATCTGGGTGAAGGCATGCTTATTAAATAGCGTGTATGAGACAGAACTGAGTGGAAGAGAAAAATATAATTCAAATTGTTGTTGATAAGTTAAGCAATTGGGCTGAAAATAACAATGAAGTTTAACAAAGTTCATCATTTAGGAAAGAAAAAACAAATTTTTAGGTTTAGGATGGGGGATGCCTGGCACTTGTGAAAAAGTCTTTAGAAGAGAAACCTGACTCCAAGCTGAACTTCAGTGCAACCATGCAATATTAAGTTGCGACAACAAAAGTATGATTTTCAAATCTGGGGAATTTATTGTCTTATCCATCTAGGAACTTTGTGTGGTCAGGTTCCACGTCAGGTTCAGCTCTGCGCAGCACCCAGCAGCTCCTCCTAGCAGGGAGCTTGTACCGCCTTCCTTTAGTTTGCCCCACAGGCTCTGGTCCTGCCCTCTTTTGTGGAACAACCCTGCACAAGTTGCTGGCCTCCCTCCCTCCGCCTCCTCTTTGACAGATCCCCCTCTCCGATTAGCCCCTCTCCTTTTCAGCAGACAGACAAGAGAAAGGCAGAAAGGTTAATGCTCACCTTGGTGCAGGATGCTAACCAAAATCAAAACCAAAGCAAGGCAGATGTATTCCAAAGACTGGTTTTCTGTCATCCACAAGGGCAGGAAAAATGAACGGAAGTATAATTTTAATTTTTCTTATTCATATTTCATTTTGTCCCTCCTTTTGCATCCTCTCTTTAATGATTCAATTCCAGCATTTCTTTGATGCTAGGGTAACTCTTGTCCCTTGGTGAGTTGGCCATTGCAAATTGTCCCTTGGTGAGCTGGCCTTGGCAAGTTGTCCTAGATGCAACAGAAGTGTCTTAGCCATCTTTTTGGACAGTTATAGGAGAGGGAATCCATTGGACTCTGGGGGGGTACTGCTCCTGGGAATGCGGGAATCTGATTCCCTGCTCCCGCATTTCCTGGCTGCTAAACCAGGCAATCAGATATTGGACTTTACCATGGTGTTTTCTAGAGTCCAAGATTTCCTTAACCTCAAAATGTTGCTCCCCTTCTATGAGAATGGGAATTGGAGGGGTGCTTTGATCAGCCCTTAGGGGAGATGAGTGTTCAGGTTTCAATAAACTAACATGAAATACAGGATGTATTCGTCTCAAGGTTTTTGGCAATTCCAATTCAACTGTCACTGGATTAATCAGTCTAATCACACGGAATGGTCCTACATACTTAGGCCCCAGCTTTTTGGACTTCTGGGTGGTTTGTAAGTATTTGGTAGACAAATAGACTTTGTCCCCTACTTTATAAATGTGAGCTGGGGACCTTTTCTTATCGGCTTGCGCCTTTATGAGCTCGGTGTGCCTCATCTAATGCCTTCCGAGTCACAGCCCAGGTGCTCCTTAGTTGTTCAATCATCCAATCCATCAGGGAGGGATTTTGAGGATCATCTTGAGGTAACTCGGGAATGGGTACAAAATCCTGGCCCGATGCGACCTTAAAAGGGGTGAATCCGGTGCTACTGTGTACAGAATTGTTATATGCCACTTCTGCAAATGGCAACAAGTCTACCCAATTGTCCTGTTGGTAATTTACGTAACACCTAAGGTATTGTTCGAGCACCCCATTGGTTCTTTCACAAGCCCCATTTGTCTGAGGGTGGTGACTGGAACTCAACCCCTGTGCGGAGCCTATCAATTTCAAAAATTCTCTCCAGAAACTGGAAGTAAATTGCACACCCCTGTCAGAAATTATTCTTTTCGGAGACCCATGTAGTCGGTAAATCTGCCGAATAAACAATTTTGCGAGGGTTTTTGCTGAAGGGATCTTTGAGCAAGGTATGAAATGTACTTGTTTGGAAAACAAATCAGTTACTACCCAAATGACAGTGCAGCCCTCACTGTCTGGTAAGTCCACAATAAAATCCATAGATATTTCCTTCCATGGGGCGTTCGGTCTAGCCACACTTTGCAGTAATCCTGGGGATTTTCCTGGAGGTCTTTTAGCCGAGGCACATACTGGACAGCTAGCCACATATGCCTCTATGTCTTTTTTAAGTGCAGGCCACCAAAACTGTCTCTTAACAAGATGTAAAGTCTTGACAAACGCAAAGTGTCCTGTGGCTTTGGCATCATGAGCATATTTCAATATGGTTGGCCTTAATGTGGTTGGAACATACAATTTCGATCCAACCCAAGCTAGTCCGTCGCGAAGTGTGCATTCATTCGAGTGGATTTTAAACCACTCATCAGCTTTTAGCGCTTCTCGTAACTTTTCGAGTAAATCCCCCGAGAGTGCTGGATCGGTTTTACTCTGCGCTCTGGTAGTGACAGGTGTTGCCAATTGCGTTAAGGGGATCACTGGTTGAACCACTTCCTTCTTTATGCTGTTGTACTGTGGCAATCTGGAAAGTGCGTCCGCCATGAAATTTTTTCCCCCAGGAAGGAAACGTAAAGTGAAATTGAATCGCTTGAAATGTTGGGCCCAGCATGCCTGTTTAGGTGATAGTTTGCGTGGTGTTTTTAATGCTTCTAGATTCTTATGGTCAGTCCACACCTCGAAAGGGTGTTTCGCCCCTTCTAAGAATTGTCTCCATGTTAACAGCGCCCATCTAACTGCAAACGCTTCTTTCTCCCATATGGCCCATCTCCTTTCTGTCTCGGATAGTTTACGGGATGTGTAAGCACAGGGTTGTAATATTCCATTCTCATTCTTTTGCAAGAGTATTGCTCCTAGGCGCGACGTCGCTAGCATCAGCTTGTACTACAAAAGGTTGTTCTATGTCGGGGTGTTTGAGCACAGGTTCAGCTGCAAACAAGCGTTTCAGTTTTTCAAAAGCGGCCTGACAGTCCATAGTGCATTCTAGTGGTTTCGAGGGTTTGGATTTTACTTCCCCTTTGGTTTTTAGCAAGTTTGTAATTGGTAGTGCGATTTTCGCGAAAGAGGGGATAAATTGTCTATAAAAATTTGCAAACCCTAAGAAACTCTGTAACTGTTTACGGGTGCACGGTGCGGCCCATTCCATTACTGCCCGGACCTTTTCCGGGTCCATCTCTATTCCCTCATGCGATATACGATATCCAAGATAGTCGATTTTGTCTTGATGCAATTCACATTTAGAAAGTTTGGTATAGAGTTCAGCTGCTCTGAGTTTATTCAAGACCGCTCGAACCAATCTTACATGGTCGGCCATGTTGTCAGAATAAATTAGAATATCGTCCAAATAGACCAATACCCCCTTATATAGGTGCTCATGCAACACTTCGTTGATCAACTGCATGAATACAGCCGGGGCCCCCTGTAGTCCAAAAGGGAGTACTCTAAACTGGAAACATTCCAGTGGGCAATTAAATGCTGTCTTCCATTCATCTCCTTCTTTTATTCTCACTCGGTAGTATGCCTCTCTTAAATCAAGTTTGGTAAAAAAAATTTCCCTTCCCTAAATGGGCCAACATGTCCTTCATAAGTGGGAGGACATTTTCCACGCAAATGGCGTTCATGTTTCTATAATCAATAACTAATCTGAAGGATCCATCTTTCTTTTCGTGGAACATTACTGGCGCTGCCACCTTGGGTTTGGCTCGTTCGATGAATCCCCGTTCTAAGTTTTTGTCAATAAAATTTCGCAATTCCCCCAATTCTCGAGTGTCATGGGTATTTTTGGTTTGGGAAGCTTCACCCCTGGAGTATTTCAATGGTGCAGTCAGTGGCCCTGTGGGGTAGAGCAGCATCCGATGCTTTTTCACTAAACACTTCCTTGAGGTCCCAATATTCCTTTGGAATTTTCTCTTCTCCCTCAATATAGTTAATGGCTACTGCTGCCCTTTCTGGTTTTATGTCGTCCCTTAGGAGGGGCCTTCCTTTTCTGGAGTTGGTTCTGCTGTACGGATGCGCAGGACCCCCATTCTCCAATTTACTCGTGGGTTCCATTTACGAAGCCAGGGCAGTCCTAGAATGAGGGGCCTTTCCATACCAGGTGCTACGATAAAGCTGAGCTTCTCTACATGATTCCCCAACTGCAGTTCAAGGGGTTCGGTCATAAAACTAGCTGGGCCCCCTCCTGCAATCGACCCAATTGACAAAATGCAATGGGTCTTTTTAAAGTTTTCAGTCTCAGTCCCATTTCCTCCACTACTTTGGGGCTAATTATGCACCTAGTGAACCCAGAGTCCAACAGGGCTAACAATTGCGCGTGAGTTCCTGTGGAGGGCACCCTTACTTCTACGGGGATGAGTAAGGGTTCTTCCGTGTGACTCACCCGTTCGTCGGTGTCAGAGTCGGAGTCCGTCTCGCTGTCGTCATCGTTGGTCGGAGTTCCCAACTCATCCTGGTTCCGGGAGTGAACTCAATGACTTCTCCTTTCAGGGCGGTGCCACGGTTTTGGCGGGTATTTTATCGCCTTTCTTTTGGCTGGCCCCGGTGGCTTTTGGCGGTGGTTTGGAGAAACATTCGGCCGCCCGGTGACCCTCCTTCCCACATTTGAAACAGGTGAAGGGCTTTGATTTGGGTTTGGATTCGGTCTTCCCGCCAGTCATCTTGGCGCCCCCTTACGGTAGAAAGAGGATGACTGGTCCCCCATCCGCCTTCTCGGAGTTCGCTCTGTTTCAGCTCGATCTCTACATCCTCAGCTACTATGTACCATCTATCCAAATCATCGGGGACCCCCATTCTCCTGCAGTCTCGATATATCTCTTCATTCAATCCATCTTTGAAACTTTCCAAAAGAGCCATTTCTGACCAGCCTGTCATATAGGGTGCCAGTTCACGAAACTCTTGGATATACTCTGCCACCGGCCTCCGGCCCTGCTGAATGCTCTTCATTCTGAGTCTTGCCTTTCGTTCGTCTAAGTGGTCTTCAAAATGCCTTCTAAGGGCCCTCATGAACTGGTTGTAATTTCTCAGCAAGGGGGAGTTGTTATTGTGGAGAACCTCCATCCACTCAGCAGCTACTCCCTCTAGGGCATTCGCAACGCTTCTGACTTTTGCCGCCTCCGTTTCGTAGTCCTCCCCCCAGTCCTACATGTGGTTCCACACTTGGGTCAGGAAAAATCCCAAGGTTTTAGGATTCCCATCAAACTTCCCAGGAAGGGGGGGATTTTTGGTTTTTTACGTCTGCGGGGGGGGGGCTGCAAGGCTGGGGTTCTCTGGCCGGCTGCATCTCTCCCTCGAGCTGCCAAAGCCTGGGATGTTCCCTCCTCAAAATCTTCCTCTCCCCCGCAGGCTGTCTCTTCAGGCCCCCCCCTGGGGTCTGCTTCCCCCTTCTCCACAGGAATTTCAAAAGACTCACGGTTTTTTCTGCTTTCTTCCACATCACGGATAAGCTGCAAGGCTTGGTCTATCATGAGGCGTTCCTTCTGCTGTTGCATCCACACTGCCTCCTTTTTCCGGGGTCTGGAAATTGTCACTCCCCGGGGTTCCTCTCCCCAGTCCAGCAGTCTCCCCACACCCTTTGACCATCTAGCCTCTTCCGTCTCCAAACGGAGTTTTTCTAACCATTCTGCAGTCTCCTTTTCCGACTGGAAGGCAGTTAAACTGGCTGCCCCCATCTTTTCTTCTCCATCACTCCCCCGA